CGGCCGGCTGCCGAGCGTGGGTCCGCGGGTGGGGCGTGGGGCGTCGGGCAAGCGCCTTGCGGTGGTGTTTCCTTCCCCGGGGGCCGCAGAGCCTGTTAGCGATCACTGCGAATAAATGAGCGCGTGCCGCGGGTTTCAACTCCGTGTTTCGATATATGACAAAACTTTGATATTTAAACGCTTTGCTCTGGAAGGGAACTAGCCTTTCCTCGCTCGCTAGTTTTGGTCGAAAATGTTTCACGTGGAAGTATTTTTTCCTGCTCGATTTCAATACTGCTGCCCTTCCAGGTTCTCCGGAGTCCGCTGGAGTGGTGCTGCTCGGCGTGGATGAGCCCCGAGCCGCTGCCCAGGCCACGGCTCTGCTGACCGGCTTCTCCTCCGAGGGGCCTGGCGGAGAGGTGAACCGGTTCCGGACAGAGCTGCTCGCTCGGTCTCGGCGTCTCTCCGGGTGGTGGGTGTTCACCGTGGTAAAATACAGGGCACGCAGATGGTAAAGCGATGGCTGGGGCGGTGGGAGGGCGGGAGCGGGGCGAGATGCTGGAGGGAACTAAGGTTTTAGTTAGTTTCAGTTTTAAACATGGGATTGCAACTCATCGGCTAAAGAAGGACAATGGGAAGAGATTTTTTTGCCTTGTAAAAAGGCAAAAAGATTAGAAGCTGAGGGAAAAGGTAAGAAGAGGGCACAATACATGCATGGTAAGATACGTTACCTGGGGGGGAAAAATAATGAAGTGAAGCCAAGAAGGAGTGAATTAAAACAGCAGCAGGTAATTCCGCCCTGGTTGTATGATGCCCTGGTCTAAGCACAAAGCAGAGCAATTACATGATTCTGAACTAGCACAGTTCCGATGAAACCACTGTGATTATAAGCACCGCAAGTGGATTCAATTGTGGTTCATGTCGTGTAAATTATATAGGGTAAAGGTACATAAACATCACAAACTGGGGGGCTGGACTCTGCAGAAATTTGTGTTGCTTTTATTGAAGCAATTAAATGCATGGATGTTCTTCTGTAGATAAGGTAGGAAACAGGCTGTGAGCAGATGTCTGTTGTATTATCTCAAATGCAGTTGGTTTTCATATAAAGCAGATTGAACGTGGACTGATCCGCCAAATATGTGGCGTCAGTGACAAGCATGTTGGGCTGATAATCTCTCCTACTACACAGCTGGGTGTAGTAAAATACCTGCCCATGACCACATTAAATAGAAGGATGAGCAAAGAAGCTACACTGAATGCAGTAATGCTAAATCTTTTAACATTGCAGTGGTGTGGGAAGACAGAGAATGTGAAAGTGAAGGTATTTATTTCTACCTGGTATAAAAGTTTAAGCCAGGCCTGTGCTAGCAACTTCAACTCATCACAATTATCAGCTGAAGTTGGTATGTATATGTGTGTATGTATATGTGTGTATGTATATGTGTGTATGTATATGTGTGTATGTATATGTGTGTATGTATATGAAAATGATCGGCAAAGGTGCTACAGACTCCTATATTAGAATGTTTTGCTAGTGTATTAACAAATCTCTTTTAAGGTATGCCTTTGTAAATGGTAAGTGTTGACATGCTTTAAAGCCACATCTGTCATTACACAGAAAGTGAATGACTAATGTGACAAAGCAGGAGAAGAGAAAGCAAAGGCAGAGGACCTAGTCAGTACAAAAAGAGGTGATTAAGGATAATGGGATTGACTAATAAGGGGTGAAAACCAGTATTTAGAGAGGAAAAATGCAATGACTTCTGTCTGTAAGTACTAGATCTGTGGTCAGTCAGTATAATTTTGCATGCACAGAAGCAGTAGGAACTTTGTCCCCTGGAGCGGTTTCGCAGAGAGCAGTGTTTAGAAAAGGCTGGTGTCTGTGCTGGCTGAGTTTCAGGTGATGCATCTCCAGGTCACGCTATTCAGTGCGTGGCAAGAAGTAACCAGGTGGAGAGGAACACCTGTAACTTGTCTTCCTGGGAACTTCACGCTGTGCTCCTTCTAGCCTTTGTCTTGCATTGAGTTTAATCAAAGCTGGTTAAGAGATGTGAGAAACATTTTACGTTTAAGTTGCTGTGTTGGAGCTGCCTCCCAGAGGAGAGTTTGATAACATCCCCTGGTTTTGTAGACCTCAGAGATTTTATGCAGGAGTTGCAGACCGTGCTAGTACTGCTTACACGACCAGCTTTGTTACCAGCTGTGGGCTTGTCGTCTTTGTGCTGACTTACTGCGGGGAGTTTGTCCTGATCATCCAGAAAGATCACTTGGCACGCAGGCAGAGTTGGCTGGGGTATGTCACCCTCTTACTCAGGCTGTTTACTCACCCAGTATTGGCTATATTGTTTAATTGTCTGAACGGTCCAAGCACTTGCTGTTTGCCAGAATAGTTAGCACAGAATGGGCTACTATAGCTGGGGTATTCACAGCTTCAGGGGCTAGTCTAGTGATATCGATAGCACACCAAAGTTAGAATTCAGTGAATTTTCATTTCTAGTAGTTGCGTTTCTTTTCTTGCAGTTACTAGCCAGGTCTGCAAACAGCATGCCAAGCTCTTAATTTAAGTGATTTTGCATTTCTGAGGTGTTTTAGAATGTGTAAGTTTACTGTGACCTTTCTTTGGGTTTTTATTAAACTTTTCCGAGAACTACATTGGCAGAGTATCTCAGGCTTTTAAGGATCACGATCTTGCAATATTTCAGTATGAACTTCCTGGTGAATGTTTCATTGCAGTAAGGACAGGTGCTCGTTGCAAAAATGCTTAGCTTGCAAGGTTAATGATACTTTAAATGAGCAGGAAGGGATAAGAGGGGACCAGGCGAGCGAGGGACATTTATTTCTGGTCAACTTTTCTTGCTCTGCTGGTTCTCAGAGGTTTGTAACCTGGCGGAGGTATTAGTGCTTGTCCATAATTAAAGCCAGGGTTATTTTACTGTCTGTAGGTGTCTAAAAAAAAAAAAAAACCAAACCTGCTTCAGGGGGTGGTGGTAATTAAGCTGTGGTTGCCTTGCGTAATGGGATGGCCTTAAACTAATGAAAGGAACTTTTATTGCTTTATTTTTCTTCTGGGCCTCAAGATTCTTAAGGACTGAGTATTACTGCTCCTATATGATAGCTCTGAGGGGGAATATTTATTATACTGTAGCATGCTCAGTATCCATGGTCCCTTCAATTATGCTTTACAGAGCTCCTGCTTGGGGCAGCTTGGAGTTCAGGTTGAAAAGAGAGGTAGGAGTGGAGAGCTGTGGAACAGGAAAGGAGGGGGGTATTTTTCTCTATTATGGGAGCTCAGACATTTTATTTACCTGTGGAAACACAGCCTAAAACATTACCTCTTCTCTCTCCAAGATTTGTTTCCAACCTGTGGGTTGTGGATTATTTCTAAAAGGTCTGTGGAAAGTAACCAGGGGAGACAACCCTCTTTTCAGGCAGCTTAAATTCCGTAAGGCTGCTAGAAAGTGTTTAGTCAACAAGTTGAGAAAACTTAAAATAATGGATTGGTGAATTCATTGTTTTTCTTCCCAGAAACATCTGTCTGCCTCTGCAAATAAGTCCCAGTGACCCTGGTGTTGAGTCTGGGAGTGTCAAAAAGCAGCTCTATAAAGCACTCTCCTAACTTTCCATCCTAAATTATCTTGCACTGCTGTGCCCAGACAAGAAATAGTCAAAATAGATTTCTTTGCCATGGTGTAGGAGGAGCTGATCTCTGTGTGTCAGCTTCAGCTGGTGAGTACCTTCCCCACCCTGTATCTTCCAAGCATGCGTTAGACTATACATTTGCTTGCTCATGAGCCAGCTAGACCTAAATCTTTGCAGGTAGAGCAGCTGGCTCCACACAGGAGATGCATTCTATTGCTCCTTCAACTAACCTTTGTTTTCCTGTGATAAATTTTGATGGGTTATAGCTTACACCCTATCTTGCCTGTTTTGCCCAGGACATTTGTAGCAATGGGAGGATTTGGGACAATATGACCCTGTATTTCTGGAAGAAAACAGAAAGGAAATGTAGAAAGGTGAACAGAATTTAAATTTTAAGAATTGCACACAGAAAAAATGGCAATCTGTTCAGCTGCTTAGCTGTTTTATTTGCAGTCGCTAAAAGAGGTTCGGGACTTGATCCCTTTTCATTGTTTTTTTTGAGAGGGGGAAAGCCCCATCTTTTTCCTAGGAACATACAGCAAACATTGTTTCGGTAAGCTGAGAAGCACCAGTCCCTGTTTACTTTGTAGTTATGGACCATGTAAGCATTACACAAGTTAATAAACACCTGTGATGAAAGATGAGATATGTATGTCTCCCACTAGCCGTCTTATTTAAGTATATGTTTGATCAGGAAATGCAAAGCCTACTGGTTCAGTAATCCTAGAGCAGTACTGAAATACAGATACCACTGAGTGCTGAGAGCAGGGACCCTTCTGAAGGGCTGATACTTCTTCCACTGTAAAAGCCAGCTGTGAAGCCGTTATAGTCTTGGAAGACATTGGAGTCAGTTTTCCAGAGGTTTCATCCAGTGTGGGTTTTTTTGGTTGGTTGGTTTGTTTTCTCTGGGGAGCCCACAGCTCTAATGAGAACTGTTATGTCAAATTCCTAGCTACAAAACCAGTTTTCAAGATAAGCATTGCAGTTGAGTTGAAAGCTGTTACTTCTTCCATTTCACTCCCGTTTTATGCTTCTGTCTTTCTGATGGTTGTAATGTAATCTTCATCTGCAGCGCTTTGTGAGCTCTCTGCTTCTGTCAGATCAGGAATGATACGGAATACAAACAGTTTGCAACTCTAGCTGATGCTGAGGGAGGCTGGAGGTTGATGCAGCTCTCATCTAAGTACTTACAAGTGTAACACACAGGAGCGTAGCAGGAAAAGCCACTTAAGTCAAGGCTATATGGATATGAAAGCCAGTAACACTGACTCTTCTCAGTATACTTTTCCCCACAGATTTATTTGTAAGTTATGCTTGTGTTTATAAGATATGTAAGTTATGCTTGTGCAGACTTCTCTGTAATGAGAATGCTGGTGTAATTAAGTCTGAGAGTCTAAGACTAAAGAGCTAAATTTATTTACACAAGGGGGAACTACAGTGGCTTTGAATTTGGCCCTATATAAGGATGCATACACTTATTCTCAGGTCTACTCTTCCCTGCCCCCCCCCCCCCCCCAAAAAAAAAAAAAGTCCCAGTTATTGCTGGAAAGAAGTGTATTTACACAAGCCATGAGTCCTGTTTTATGATATATCAAGAAGCACTTGAGATATCACTAGTCATACAAAGGAGGTGCTCTAAGATTTGGGTTTTTTAATTTTTGATGCTCTGGAGTTGAAACTTTGAGGCTTTGAAAATGTCCTTGGCATGAAGAACTCATATATAAATATACCTCGTAGGAGAAAATATTTGATCTTACTAGAGGCTTGGCTGAGTTCTACAACCCATGCAGCAGCCTCCATATAATATTCAGAGATGTGGAAAATAATAACACACTTCCTGTGGAAAGTGTTTGTCTTGCCACCCCCAACATGGGAAGCAACCAGGAAACTTCATCTAAGTCTGCACCAAAATTGCATGTTCAGACGAGGCAATAATACTTTGTGAAAGAACGACCATTGTGCATAGCCATTAATACGTATTGTCCAGTGCTACCAGCTGAAATGTGTATGTGAAATTCCAGTGACTTCTTAAAGGCACTGACTTAAACCAACTGAACTGACACAGCTTTTGTCTCTCAGTGCTGGTTACCATGGCTGTTCTCCCATGGTTTGCTTTAGCAAAGCGCAGTTCTCTTTGTCCTTCAGCTCTTTGGCTGGCGCCGGGTCCTGGGCTCAGCCTGTGGTCTGGATGGCTCACGTGGAGTCTGACACGGCCCCACGGGGTTGGAAGTGCAGGGCAGAAGGATGATGACAGTTGTGGAAAGCAGACGCTTGTCTTCTCATCTGCCATCAGTGCTGGCCCTTGTGTAGCTTTGTACAGGCCACATAATTGTTTGTGTTCCTCTTTTTTTTTTTCCCTTCTTTTCTGTCTCTTCATATGCTTGTGATGTACACGACTGCTGGAGGGGATTGACTCTCAGACTGTGGTTCAGTTGGCGTTTCATTGTATTGATATCTGGAGGGATTATCCAAAGGTACTTTTGAAGCCTCTTTCAATTTGTTTTTTTTTTCCAGAGCGAAGAAGCTGAGCCCCATAAATAATGCAGCTGATATCAGGAAGAAACTGGAGTTGTAGAAGACATAGTGGAAATCACTAGTTATGTCCACCAGGAGACCTGAAATAGAAGCCACAGCTTAGTCGAAGAGAAGATGCATGCTAAAGGCAACTGGGTGACATTTACATAAATGTTAAACCTAAATCATTCATCACACTGCCATATACAAAAGATAAGCGTTCACAGATGAGTTAAGTTCTCTTCTCTAGATTCTAGGGTTTGTTTGGTTTTTTTGTAGTCACCACTCCGGTGATGTTTCTGCTTCTGTATAAAGTATTTCTCGATACACAGAAAAATCAGGAAAGGAAAGAAATTGTAACTTTTCCCCAGCCTGCTGATTGATTTTGTTTGCTCAGCAGAGGACCCCTGTGCCACTGTCACTCACTGGATTTTGTAATGAGTGACCCTGTTACATCCCAGGTCAGCAAATAGAACATATAAATAGAGAAATCTCTCAAAAACTGACGTGTTAGGGTCTTTAAACTGAAAACTTATCTCTAATAGTGTGTAGTCAGGGAGAGGAAAATTCACAGCACAGCAAGCATTATGACTAACATTAAGTGCCCTCAGTGTAAAACATTTAGAAGCACGATATATCAAATGAGTAATTTAATATTAATGTTATAGATGGAAAGGCGATACTCAGGTCAAATATATGATGCTGTCCTGGTTTCTCTATAGGCTGCTTATTTATATGGAAATACTGGAATAATGTTTGTTTGCTTGTATCCTTCAGTAAAGATTGGTGATATTTATTTTCATAGTGCACTTTTCTTTAGCAGATTTTAGGACTACAAATAGAAATGGCGCTGCTTTTACTGTACTTTGTTTCGCCCATCTGCCACTCCTATCAGAGATGTCCAAGAAAAGACCTTTTTTGCACTTTGAAAAAAGTGACTGACACACAAATGCCAGGGAATACCATGAAATATGGTGTATGTTATCATCCTATTCTTAGAACAGACCTTATTAATGGCACACAATTCATTGTCTGGAGAAAAGAACTAAAGCCTGAATTGGGGATTCATGCTCAGGTTCACGTTTCTTGTTTGTTAGTCTTTTGAATTTGCTGCTGTACTGCAGGAGCAGGTGTGTCTTGGACAGGTCACTTAGTGGCATTTGGAGTGAATTGTGAAATCTGTGAATAATTTATTGGATTGGGGTCATAACTAGCTCCTTTCTTGTCTCCAGAGGAAAATTAATACACTCTAGAACTCGGAAAGAAGAGTGAACAGAAGCTTTTACTATAAGGCTCTTGAATAATGTAGGACTAGTAATAATTCTGATCACAGTTAATTTGTTTAATGGGAAGTTTGCAATTCCTTGAGACTTCATAGATAAAACAATGCAAACTAGCAAAGCAGTGAAATGGTTCATAGACAGCAAGATCCTACCACAGTAATTCCTCTCTGTGTCTTGTCACTCACTGGAAGAAAGCTCTCCTCACTCCCATACCTATAAAACTGCCTACCAAGTGGGTAACTTTCACTGTCTGCTGTTGCAGTGACGCTTGGGCAGCTGCAGAAATGACACTCCTGCTGTGAGAAGGAGCTGATCATTCCTTTCTGACTCTCCCTTTTATATTGCTCCCTTTGCATAACTCGCCTGTCTGCATGAATTTGGAAACTCCCTCATTTCTTTATGCTCCCAAACTCTTGTCACCAGTGTCTAAACAACCGATTTTCCCCCAGCCTGCTTTAATAGCTTCTCTCACCTGTGAGAGGGGGTCCAATGAGGAGCGTGATACTCTCCAGGATGGTGAAGAGCCCTAGAGCACTTGAGAACCTGTCCATCTCCACCACATCCATCAGCACCTGGAAGGTGAGTGCCCCGATGCCACTCATGGCTATGCTGAGGATGACGCAGTAGATGATGAGCACGCTGAACTCGGCTGAAATGACACAAATGAAATTGCTCAGCCCGCAGAGGAGCACAGCCAGGCTGAACAGGTAGATGCGTCTCCCTGTGAAGACTCTGTGTCCCGAGAGCAGCCCTGTCAAAGGCCGTATGAAGATGTTGATGAACCCGATAATGGAGATGAGGAGGGCTGCCCTGCGTTCCTCCACCCCGTTCTGGATGGCATAAGGCACAAGGTAGACGTGGGGTAATGCAAACCCCATCATCATCCAGGTCACTCCAATAGTGTAAATCTGGTAACCTTTGTTTTGACAGAAGATGTCAAAAGCCAGGTACTTCTGCAGCATCTGGAAGCATGCAGTCCTTCTGGTTTGCTGCTGGAGCTCAGGATGGGGGGAGGATGCTCCATTGGACAGTTGTGCCCCTTCTGCTCTTTTCCCTGGCTCTTCTGCAGGCTTGGGTGACTGGTTGACTGATGCAAGCTGAACTGGTCTCATGATGGCTCCACAAACGCAACAGTTCAATAGTATTCCTCCAAAGATGAGAAAAGTGTTTCTCCAGCCCATCTCATCCAGCAAGTATTGAGAAAGCAGTGGCCACAGCGTGAAACCGAGAGAGACGCCAGTGGATGCCATGGCATTGGCCAGCGTTCGCCACCGTACAAAGTAGTAGCCCAGCACAGTCACTCCTGCCTGGAAGCTGAAGCATGATCCCAGACCTAAAGGTAGGAATGAAAGAGAAAATGACAGTGCATGATCCCTCTGCCATCTTAAAGGATGAAAAGAGCCCAAATCCAAAGTGCACCCACAGATGACTTCATCTGCCACTGAAGCATTTCCTCGGCTGCCAGGCTGCACAACCCCCAGTGATTAATAGTCAGAAACCCCACACAAGGGATGAAGAAGGATGTTGTGTGCATATTAAACTCCTTGTGTTCTTGGGTATGCTTATCTAAGCTGACATTTGTCTGGGGCACGCTGCCATTCCTAAAATTGTTATGGAATTGTTCATTAAAAACTTGTTTGTTATACCGCATGCAACAAGCAGTGCTGCTTTCCTGACACTTTCATCAGGGCTCAGGGAGTTACTTGTTTCTCTCTCTATGCAGTGGACACAGCTTAGCTTGCAAGATCCAACAGGATTGGTCCCAAAGTAACCTGGCTGAAGAAATTAATTTCTCTGTGTTAGAAAAATGCAAGAGTTGAACATTAGTCACATAGGAGAAATACTTGGAAAGGAAAGGTTCCCATCTGTTACTTCTGTTCAAAACCAACACGTTCTTTTGTTAGAAAAAGATACCTCCGTGTTTCCCCAGATTGGGAGTGGTGAAATACAAGCCCAGGGAACTTGGGAAGGATGTTGTCCCAACACATTACATTCCAAGACTGAAAAAAACTCCCTTCTTCAAAGACAAAAGGCTGAGAAACTACTAAAAAGAACAGACATCTTTGTTCTCCATTTCGCCCTCTGGAGACCTGTAGCTTTTTCCAGAGAGAAGCACTTTCCAGTGAGCTTGGCTGGATGAGGTGTGTGTTAAAGGGGTGTGAAGGGCAGATCTAGCTGCTATATGAATCCTGCTGTGCCGTGAGGCTTTTGATTTATCCTATTTCACAGATGAATGGAAAAACGTGAGCACTTAGTTGGGACTCTATTTCCTGTCTCTCAAGTCAAGCACAGCAGCTGGTTTTCCTGCTGTTCTTTGGTACTTACCAGTGATGAGGCCAGCTGTTAAGTAAAGCTGGCTGATGGACTTGCAGAAGGAGCTGGACACCATGCCCACTCCGCTGAGCAGGCCTCCCAGCATCACAGCAAACCTGCAGCCAAATCGCTTCACCAAGACACTGCAGAGGGGCCCTGGAAGCAAAGAAGCAAAAGGGGAGCAGTTAGGGAGGAAGGATATATTCCGTACCTGCTGGACTGGTGCAGTTATCAAATGGTTTAGCCTAGAGACCTTGAGGATTGTCCCAACAGCACAGTGTAGTAGGGGAGCTGGGAGGATCAGGGAATATATTTTCTCTTCCTAAGTGCATGGTCAGCTTGTTAGCTGAGGGGAAGGCTCCTGTGATGTGCTTGGATTTTGGCCATCAAGTAGGATTTCTAAGCTTCCCTGTGATGGATTTCCGTTAAAACTCCTGGAAATGGAATGGAAGAAGGACCTTCAAGTGTAATTCTGTTCTCACATGATATAAATTCTGGGAATGATTTGAAAAAGGAGAGGACTTGGATTTCTGTGCCTCTGAGTAAGAGATGCTAAGCAGAGTGATATTCCTGTTTGCATATTTCCACTCTCATTTCACTGTGTTTTTCAAATATTCTGCCACAAAATCTCCTAAATTGCCCTTGGTGTCCCGCTACCTAGGTGAAACTCCTTGCAAGAGAAGGCACATTGACTCTGAACTAGATCAAGAATGGGAGAAAAATAGACGTCGTTAAGGAGGACTATTTGAAAATGGCTGGAGAGGTACATTTGTGTCTGCATGGGGATCAATCTAAGCTTCAGGCAGTATCATCCAAGCTGCAGCTTGTGGAGTCTTGCAGCTGTCCTGCAAGTCATCTTCCCCAGGAAAAAATAAGATGTTATTGTCAGTACAGCTCTTTGCACATGCCTGTCCTGGCATACCTGGCAGGGGTGGGTAGGTTTAACCGTGTCCACTTCCAAGAGGACACAAGCCGAGGAGCAGACCGCGCTCATCCTGGTTCCCACTCCCACACCTCCGGCACAAACTCCGCAGAGGCAGGAGTGAGACCTGGGTGGTTCCGATGGGCCAGAGCCCAGCTCTGCCCTTCTTGGGCAGAAACCTGCATTTTATTGTGTACCTACGTTGCTGGCAGGCTTTACTAGGAAAAAGTTATGTTATTTCATCAGAAAAAGCAATGAACAAATAGGCATGGAGGTGTGTTTAAGGTCAGGTAATTCTTTAATTTTCATAGACTTCTGGTGAATTCCATGAGATTGTGGTAAATTACCAGTTTGTTAATGTCATTTAGCATCCTTCATTTTGGGGTAGGAAAAAATTAGTTCAGACCTGCTGGGTCTGGGTCCCCCATCAGTGGGAAGCATGTTTCTCTCTGCACGCTCTGGAAAAAAGGGATCTGAAGGTACAGTTTTTCCTGTTCCTTTGAGGATCCTCAAGGTTTTCCAGTTTGTTGTTTTTTTTTCCCCTCTTCTGAACACTTAAAGTTATAGAAGCAAATGCAAAATGACTGTAAGCTTCAGAATTAGGAATCAATCAG